CGCAACATCTGGGAAGCAGTGCCCCCGTCCCCGATCTGTCACAACCCCCGAAAAGGCGCAGCAAAAATACACCACCTACCGAGGTGGTTCTTCCAGCGCGGCCGCATCAAGGCCGGCCGAGGGATCGCCAGCGCGTCCTTCTGCCGGCGCATCCCCGGCTCCTGGCTGAACTGCGCATGCTCAGACGTGCGCAGTTCGTGAGTCTCCTGTTCCCCACTGTCGCTTTCCCTGGCATCTGATCGTGCCGGGGAGGGAATGATCCCGCTGCCGCGTGTTTCTTTTGGTGCGGCTTTAGAAAGCCACACTTTCGCCTGTTCCCCCCCCCCCGTGTGGCAGGGACCACAGTCAAGTTTCCACTGCAATTACAGACTTCTTTATGGTTAAAACTGTGGGAAGCCACTGGGAGGAACAGGGCATCTTCAGTGTTCCCAGGGTATGGTTGGAGAGCGCATGATCATACGGCCACATTACTGAAGCTAAGCAGGACTTGGTCTGATTGGGGCCTGGATGGAAGACCCCTTGGGGGCCCTCTGATGTATGGCACCTTGAGTTCCATGAAGGCAGAAAGGTGAGATATAAATGTAGTTAAATAGCTCTTTCAGTCTTTTCTGGGCTTGAGTATCCCATAGCTTTGCTCCTGCCAATTAAATATCTCTCACTGAACATGTTGACACACATTGAAGCTGCCTTATATGGAGTCAGACCCTTTGTCCTATTGAGGTCAGTATTGTCTCCTGTGACTGGCAGCAGCTCTCCAGGGTCTCAGGCAGAAAGTCTTTCCAATCACCTACGGCTTGATGCTTTCAACTGGAGACGACAGGGATAGAACCTGCGAACTTCTGTGTCCAAAGCAGATGCTCTGCTGCTGAGCTGCAGCCACAATCCTGCACAAACCCAGTGTAGTGGGACTCCATAGCTCCTCCTCAATGGTACCCATAAACTACTTATATCAGTGAAGGGTAGCAACATTTTCAGTTATTTAGGTGGGGGGGGGATATTTTATTTTATTTTTGCCACTGATAAGTTGCGAGCCACCACATTCACATTCCAAAATGCATGGGCTGAGTGGAAATCATTGAAACAAACATCAGTGACCTAAGTTCAAATCTCCGCTCAGCCATGAAGATCACTTGGTGATCTTGGCCTACCCACACTCTCTTAGCTTAACCTACTTCATGGGAACCCTAATCCAGATAAAACCAAACGCACTGAAGCCAACAGAGCAGATTGTGTGGGTGTAGGGTGCTGTCAAGTCTCAGTGAATTTATGGTGACTCACAGGGTTCGTAAGGCAAGAGACATTCAGAGGTGGTTTGCCATTGCCCACTTCTGCACAGCAACCCTGGACTTCCTTGGTTGTCTCCCATCCAAGTACTAACCAGGGTTGAACCTGCTTAACTTCCAAGATCTGATGACATTTGGCTCACCTTGGCTATCCAGGTCAGACCAGGTTAGCTGCAACTAATTCCACCCCTGCTGCTTTCAGTGGGACTTATGCACAGTAAACTTGAGCAGGGGAGGGGAGAAATAACCCCAAAGGGCAGACGATATG